AACAAAAAAAACCTTGTGTATTTGAACTTCTAAAACTCAAGATATGGGTTGAAAACTAAACAGTGTCTAGGCTACATCACAAATTCGAACTTCTCCATTGTTACTACAATTTGAATTTGAAAATGGTCTTTTTGAATCTTAGACTCTTCATGAAAGTTTTAAGCCTATGTCTTAGCTTTCCATTCATATAGAGCAGACCTAAACACAAGTTCTACACGTACATTTATGATGCAATAATCAAATGGTGTTATAGTTTGGAATGAACTAAAATCTTTTTTTTTTAATCTTAGCCCTCTCTGTCTTCTCAATTTCAGTAGTTAAACTCATCAATCAATCCCTTGATTTATATGATAGGCCTACATTTAAGATGAACATTTACCATAAATTAAAGGTATCTTATATTATTAGATATGTTATTATAAAACATGCTCTAGCTAAGGAGTTATTGATACTTCAAGTGCAAAAATGATGATATAAAACCTTGATAAAAATACATTTTTAAGTACTCATCAATTATCATAACTTAACAACCAGCACCTCTCTCAATGCCCATCCAACAACAAAGAGGCTTGACAATGGGGTGCATAACGTGTTCAATGTAGAGAAGACGCTTTCAAATTATGCGAACGAACCAAATCATAGCACCATTATTGAAATCTACAATGGATTTCTCTCTATGTGCACACGAGAGCAATAATTTCACTAGATAGATTATTATTATTAATCAGTATCATTATTACTATTATTATAAGGTTATACTTTGCTTAAGTTACTAGAGTAATTATGTCGATAATTTCTCTGTTTTTTTTGGTGTGTTTATATGATATCGTCAGAGTCGTATTCTTTAAAAGTGAAAATGTCTTAGTGGGTTAAAGCCATCTATGTTGTATATCACTTTTCATGGAAAATTGTCAGGTACCCGTCCAAAAAAATTGATATGAGACAATAAATAATAAGAATTAAAGCAAGAAAAGAAAGAAGTTTTTAAAGAAGAAGCTAAGAAGCAAAAGCAAAGAAAGAGAAAAATGAGGATTAGAGATATGCAAAGTCTGCAAATTTTTCATGAATCATCAAAACTCTTTAACATTGACAAAAATAGGGTATAAATATTAAAAACCTAATTAGAACAAGCGATTGGGCTTATGGTCTACTAGATAAAATATCTAACAATAATTAAATAAAACCTAACAAATAAAACCAAATTAATACCTCAACTAAAAGTTTATATAAACCTAAAAATATAAATTAAAGCCCAATCTTTTAATTATTTAAGTTATCTTCAATTGTCTATGATTATACATGTGTATAAATAATATTTTGGTTCCATCTCCCCTCCAAAAATTCTCTCTCGGAAAGTTCTAACAATCTGAGGCATATAATACATTATATCTTAATTTAATACATGAACCCGTATGGTGGGATCAGAACCCATTTTACTATTGTTATTAACAAAAGGGAAAGCCACAACTAATTGTTTGTACTATAATATTGCAATGGAAAGATATCAAATGACTGTTTTCCATTTTTACAGAATCTAGCACATCCTTAAAGTGCCCTCACTGATTATTTTGCTTTAGCGTGTAGGACACATCTTCAATGGTTGCTCACTAGTAATTCTGTTTTGTTGAATTCACTTAAAAATACGGAACTTGTTCTTGATATTTGGAATACAGAATTTATTCTAGTTGTGCAAGTAGCCTAGCTATATACCAGTGCTTGTACTGCATCACCATTCAAACTAACAACAGTGTGTCTGACTGGATAGACTGGTATGCTTGTGTAGAATCCCATATCTTTTGAAAGCCAGTGTTGATTGTGATGGGTCCAAAAAGCAGGAAGCTAACTACAAGCTGCCTGCTTTCTGCACATATATATAAGGATTCCCCTATGACCAATTTTGTACCAAGGCAAACAATATTCCAGTGTTAATTGTTCTTTGAATTATATTGCGTTATTTGCACTTATGGCACCTCAGGAAGATCTTCTCACAAGGCTAGGAATCCAAAGAAACTCAAGATATGGGTTGAATACTGAACAGTGCCTAGGCTGCATCAAAAATTCGAACTTCTCCATTGTTACTACAATTTGAATTTGAAAACGGTATTTTTGAATCTTAGACTCTTCATAAAAATTTTAAGTCTATGTCTTAGCTTTCCATCCATATAGAGCAGACTTAAATGCAAGTTCTACATGTATAGTTATGATCCAATAATTGAATGGTGTTCTAGTTTGGATTGAACTAACATCTCTTTTTTAATCTTACCCCTATCTGTCTTCTCAATTTCAGTAGTTAAATCCATCAATCAATCCCTTGATTTATATGATATGCCTGCATTTAAGATGAACATTTACCATAAATTAAAGGTATCTTATATTATTAGATATGTTATTATAAAACATGCCCTAGCTAAGGAATTATTGATACTTCAAGTGCAAAAATGATGATATAAAACCTTGATAAAAATACATTTTTAAGTACTCATCAATCATCATAACTTAACAATTAGCACCTCTCTCAATGCCCATCCAAGTATAAATACTAAAACCCTAACTAGAACAAGCGATTGGGCTTATGTTCTACTAAATAAAATACCTAACAATAATTAAATCAAACGCAACAAATAAAATTAAATTAATAAATCTCAACTAAAAGTTCATATAAACCCAAAAACATAAATTAAAGTCCAATCTCTCAATTATTTGAGCTATTTTTTATTATCTATGATCATACCCATGTATAAATAATAAATAATATTTCGGTTCCATCTCCCCTCCAAAAATTCTCTCCCTTGGAAAGTTACGAGAATCTGAGGCATATAATACATTATATCTTAATGTAACACATGAACCCGTATGGTGGGATCAGAACCCATTTTCATACTGTTATTAACAAAAGGGAAAGCCACAATATTGCAATGGAAAGATATCAAATGACTGTTTTGCATTATTACAGAATCTAGCACATCCTTAAAGTGCCCTCACTGATTATTTTGCTTTAGCATGTAGGACACATCTGCAATGGTTGCTGACTAGTAATTCTGTTTTGTTGAATTCACTTAAAAATACGGAACTTGTTCTTGATATTTGGAATACAGAATTTATTCTAGTTGTGCAAGTAGCCTAGCTATATACCAGTGCTTGTACTGCATCACCATTCAAACTAACAACAGTGTGTCTAACTGGATAGACTGGTATGCTTGTGTAGAATCCCATATCTTTTGAAAGCCAGTGTTGATTGTGATGGGTCCAAAAAGCAGGAAGCTAACTACAAGCTGCCTGCTTTCTGCACATATATATAAGGATTCCCCTATGACCAATTTTGTACCAAGGCAAACAATATTCCAGTGTTAATTGTTCTTTGAATTATATTGCGTTATTTGCACTTATGGCACCTCAGGAAGATCTTCTCACAAGGCTAGGAATCCAAAGCTCTGCTCTGATCGAGGATAGCCATGGTGGGCGGCCTTACATTTCTAGAAGGCCTGGAAGACTCCCCTTAACTCAGGTACATCAATATCATTTATACCAACATCAGCGAACATTTATTTACCATGGACCTCAAATTTCCACTGTGCGGATGCCAGAAATCACTAGTAATGAGGTAGCTACATGCCGTGGAACCATGGTGAAGGAGTCTGTTATGGCCATCCCATACCGTGGAGCCATGGTGAAGGAG